TGGTGAGGGGCGTGTTAGGGTGATTGAGGCTGGCGAGGGGGGAAGTTGGGGTGGGCGAGGCTGGTAAAGGGGGGGTTGGGGTGGGTGAGGCTGGCGAGGGGGGTTGGCATGGCGAGGCTGGTGAGGGGGGTTGGTGTGGGCGGGGCTGGCAAGGGGCGTGTTGGGGTGCGCGAGGCTGGCGAGGATGGGGTGGCGTGGGCGAGCCTGGCGATGGGTTTGTTGAGGTGGGCGAGGCTGGCGAGGGGGGTTGGGGTGGGGAGGCTGGCGAGGGGGGGTTGGGGTGGGCGAGGCTGGCGAGGGGGGTGGCGTGGGCGAGGCTGGCGAGGGGGGCGGGGGGTGAGGCTGGCGAGGCTGGCGAGGGGGTGTGTGGGCGAGGCTGGCGAGGGGGGGTGTGGGCGAGGCTGGCGAGGGGTGAGGCTGGCAAGGCTAGCGAGGGCGGCGGGGACGAGGCTGGCGAGGGGTGTGTGTGGGCGAGGCTGGCGAGGCTGGCGAGGGGCGAGGCTGGCGAGGGGTGGGCGAGGCTGGCGAGGGGGGTGTGGGCGAGGCTGGCGAGGCTGGCGAGGGGCGAGGCTGGCGAGGGGGTGTGGGCGAGGCTGGCGAGGCTGGCGAGGGGGCGAGGCTGGCGAGGGGGGGTGTGGGCGAGGCTGGCGAGGCTGGCGAGGGGGGCGAGGCTGGCGAGGGGGGGCGAGGCTGGCGAGGGGGCGAGGCTGGTGAGGGGGCGAGGCTGGCGAGGCTGGCGAGGGGGCGAGGCTGGCGAGGGGGGCGAGGGGTGAGGGGTCTCACCGGGCTTACAGTCTCCCTGTAAACACTGGACGTGGTCCCACAGGTCAGTGCAGGTTCTGGGGCACTGGTTTGCACAGAGCACCAGAAACGCTTTCCCTCTGTCCTCACAGCGCTCCCCTGAAACCACCAACACACACTCACTCAGCAACTCACACTCACACCACCAACACACACTCACTCAGCAACTCACACTCACACCACCAACACACACTCACTCAGCAACTCACACTCACACCACCAACACACACTCACACCACCACCACCAACACACACTCGCTCAGCAAGTCACACTCACACCACCACAGCACCAACACACACTCACTCAGCAACTCACACTCACACCACCAACACACACTCACTCAGCAACTCACACTCACACCACCAACACACACTCACTCAGCAACTCACACTCACACCACCAACACACACTCACTCAGCAACTCACACTCACACCACCAACACACACTCACTCAGCAACTCACACTCACACCACCAACACACACTCACTCAGCAACTCACACTCACACCACCAACACACACTCACTCAGCAACTCACACTCACACCACCAACACACACTCACTCAGCAACTCACACTCACACCACCACCAACACACACTCACTCAGCAACTCACACTCACACCACCAACACACACTCACTCAGCAACTCACACTCACACCACTGGGGTTGGGGTTGGGGTTAGGGTTGTGGTTGGGGGTTGGGGTTGTGGCTGGGGTTAGTGTTGGGTATGGGGTTGGGATTGGGGCTGGGGTTGGGGTTGGGGTTGGGGCTGGGGTTGGGGCTGGGTTGGGGTTGGGGTTGGGGGTTGGGGTTGGGGTTAGGGTTGGTGTTGGGTTAGGGTTGGGGCTGTGGGTGGACTGGACCTGGGCCTGGGAGGCCTGTGGTTGTGGTTGGGGTTAGAGGTTGGGGTTGGGTTTAGGGTTGGGGTTGGGGTCAGGGTTGGGGTTAGGGTTAGGGTTGGGGTTGGGGCTGGGGTTGGGGTTAGGGTTGGGGCTGGGGTTGGGGCTGGGGTTAGGGTTGTGGTTGGGGGTTGGGGTTGGGGCTGGGGTTGGGTTGGGGTGGGGTTAGGGTTGGGGTTGGGGCTGTGGGTGACTGACCTGGGACTGGGAGAGCCTGTGGTTGTGGTTGGGGTTGGGGTTAGGGTTGGGGTTGGGGTTAGGGTTGGGGTTAGGGTTAGGGCTGGGGCTGGGGTTGGGGTTAGGGTTGGGGCTGGGGGCTGGGGTTGCGGTTGGGGTTGGGGCTGGGGTTAGGGTTGTGGTTGGGGGTTGGGGTTGGGGCTGGGGGTTAGGGTTGGGGCTGGGGGTTTGGGGGTTAGGGCTGGGGTTGGGGCTGTGGGTGACTGACCTGGGACTGGGAGAGCCTGTGGTTGTGGTTGGGGTTAGGATTGGGGTTCGGGGTTGGGGTTGGGGCTGGGTTTAGGGTTGGGGCTGGGGTTAGGGTTGGGGCTGGGGTTGGGGTTGGGGCTGTGAGTGACTGACCTGGGACTGGGAGAGCCTGTGGTTGTGGTTGGGGCTGGGGTTAGGGTTAGGGTTAGGGTTAGGGTTGGGGCTGGGTTAGGGTTGGGGTTGGGGTTGGGGTTGGGGTTAGGGTTGGGGTTGGGGTTGGGGTTAGGGTTGGGGCTGGGGTTGGGGTTGGGGCTGGGGTTGGGGTTGGGGTTGGGTTGGGGATCGGGGTTGGGGCTGGGGGTTGGGGTTGGG